CTGGTGGTCCTTCCTACACTAACTCCAGATATTTAAGCCTTTCTTGCACTGGAAAGTCCCAAACTGGTCCCAGTATCCAGCTGTGGCCCCAGCACTGACAGAGTGCTACCTCCTTACCAGCACTGGGCTCCACACCACAGCCTGCCTGCCTTCACCTTTCCACAGGACAGAAACACCTGTGCTCAGCTGGAAGCTCTCTGAGAGGGACCAGAATCCTGAAAAAGGATTTAGGGTTTTACTTATCCTCCTTGGTGTTTTCCTGGGAAAAATGGCCTGGAGCAAACATTGCCTTAAACATCAGACAGCTGCAAGATCACAGAGAGTGAATATCTATTTTCAGCCTGAAAGTCACTTCCCTGACCTGGGTCACTTTTATTCACAAATCTTTAAATACAAGGTAGCTGAAAACCATCCTGCAGAAAAGATCTGTAACTTCAGGTACTTCAAGGTGCAGCCAGCACAGGCAGGTTTTTTTTTTACTGAAAATAAAGTAATAAAATCCCTCAAATTTTCTTCTGTTTCCAGTTTATTATGGGGAAATGCAGCCTCACTGGGCTCCTGAGCATTGCCATGGAGCAGTGGGCTGCAACAGAGAGCTGGGTGGCCAGCAAAGAGGGACCACAAGGCAGGAAGGAAAACTTGTGGGGCGTGTTGTCAGGTCTGTAGCATGCATTTAGGGGGATTAAAAAGCTGCCAAGTCACTGACCAAAGTGGCAATCCTCTCCTGGCCAGCAGAGCACAGAGCCCTGCATCCCCTGCTACATGAGGCCTCTGCAGCCTCTTCCTCCTTTCCATCCCCTCAGCACAAACTGCTTTTCTCCTAGATGAGGACACAGCTTAATTCCCCCAGGAATTAGGTTATCAGTGAGAGCTACAGAGGTCCCTGCAGCTGGGCAGAAGCAGTGGTGCATGCTGAGAGTCCCCACTTCTCTCCATGATCCAGCTTAGGCCCTGAGTAATGCAAATCCCTACAGTTCCCTGAATTAATGTCTGCTTCCACTGAGTAGAGCCCTTAGGAAAACCAAGCCAGCTTTGATGCAACAGTTGCTCAGGAAGACGAACCAAAGAAGATGGAGCTTCTTGAAAAATGCACCAAAATAACCATGTTATTTTTGGTCTGACTCTACTGATTTCAGGCAACCAGTTCTTGCTATAGGAGGATGGTTTAAAGATGCCAGTGCCAAAACATGGCCCCTCTCCATGGGTTATAGACATGTCATGGCTGTGAGAAATGGTTTGAGTTTTTGGGCATCCCATGGCAACACATGCTGAAGGGCTCAGAGAAGCCCTTCCATCAACCCAGGACACTTTCAGAGGATGGAAGGGGTTAGTTAGAGATGGCCACTAGCCCACCACAGCTGGATGTGCTGTGCATGCAAAGAACTGCACTCATTCTGCAATGAGGCCTGATGCTCACAGGTCCTCCATGCTGGGCAAGTTAAAGCACAGGTCTGCCTGCTGTGCCTGCTGCCAGCACATGTGAGCATCCTCACTGCCCGAGCCTCTCCCGGTGCCTCCCTGCCCGCTGCAGACACCCCGACAGCAGGAGGTGACCAGATGGCACTGCCATGTGATGGGGACTTTCCACTCACAAATGTGGAGGAGACAAGGGAGAGGTGCTGGAACTGGTGACTTGTTAAAAGCAGTCAGAGATGGGTCTCGGCTGCAAGATAGGGGCTGCAAAGCCATCTTGCACCAGAGCTGCTGGAGTGAGGGGGCTCTGCCTGTTATGATGTTTCTGCAGCCTGAAGCAGTGCTGCAAAACCACCCCAGAAAGAAAGGAAGCAGGGCCAAGATGACAGTGCAGCCCTGCTCCCTGCCACGCCCTGCAATGCTGCCAGGGCCTGGCTTGGCTCTGCTGCCTGTGGGCACTCTCCCTCCCTGCTCCTGGGCTCTGCACCATCCGGCGGGGCAGAGGGCCAGGGCGGCTGTGCCATGGGGCACCAGCGAGCATGGCAGGCAGGGGACAAACCCACACAGGACAGCTCCCAGAGCCCCGTGTGGTGGCAGGGTGACAGTGGGGGCCAGGCAGCAGGGGAAGAGGGGCAGGGGTTGTAGGGGGCCCTACACACACAGGGCCTCTGGAATTACCCACACCCTGCTCCAGGCAGGCACAGTGCTGTCACCCTCACCAAGCCCTGCAGAGGCACATCCCCACCAGCCCCAGCTCTGGAGTGAAGGTTTGGCCGTGCCTGGCTTAGACCTGTTCCGCCTCCTGTCTCCAGCAGCAGAATCACCCGCACACCACGGAAGCCCAGCAGCGCCGCAGTGTCCCTGCCCAGCAGCAGGGACCCCACAAAGGCACGCAGCCTGTCCGAATCCCCCCGCAGCGGTGCAAGGGCTCCCAGGGGAACGCTGCAGGAAAAGGAAGGCAGCCCTGGGCTGCACCCAGAGCGGGCCGGGATCTCAGCTCTGCCGCATGTCATGGGGGGGTCTCGGGTGACCCTTGTGCCACCCCCGCCCTTCCCACTGCTGCACCACACCACAGGCCTCAAGCCGGGCGGGGTGTTTGGGGGCCCCGGTGAAACCACTCTCTGGCAGCTCGGGAAGAGCCTCCCCCGAGCCCCGGCTGGCGGCAGCAGGGCCCGCAGAGGGCCGGCTGCACGGAGACCCTGCGGAGCCCGAGCTTTGTTTGGCCGCCGGGCCGCGGGGACAGCGACAGGGACAGGGCGGGGAGCGGGGCCGGCGGGCACCGCCTCCCGAACCGCGGGGGCTCCGCCGGCAGCGGCGGCGGCGGAAAGCTGCGGGGACCCGCGGGGACAGCGGGGACGGGAGCGCACAGCCGCCGGCACGGACCGACGGGGAGCCGGGAGCGCGGGGCGGACCTTACCCAGCCTGCCGAAGGGGAGCCGGTTCCTCTCGCCCAGCATCAGGTTGAAGCGGGGGTTGTCCCTGCGGAGGCGCCGCCACTGCCCGCTGGCCAGCAGCAGCCGGCTCACCTCGGCGTACACGCTGCTGCCCTCGTCCCGCACCACGAAGGTGTACATGGCGGCGGGGCGGGGGAAGGGGCTCCCCGCCCTACCCCCGGCGGCTCATGGGCCCCGCCGCAGCCCAGGCAGGGCCCTGCGCGGCCGCCGCCGCCCGGCCCGGCTCCGCATGGCCGGGGCCGCCGCCCCCGCGCACCGCCCCGCAGCCTGCCCAGGCGGGGCCGACCCGGAACAGAACCGCCCGCCCGAGCCCGGGCCCGCTCCTGCTACCGCTCCTCCCCGCCCCGTTACGCCGTGCAGCCGCCGGGGCGGGGCCGTGCGCCCGCTGGGGGCCGGGCCGGGATCTGTCACCGCCCGGGGTCTGTCACCGCCCGTGGTCTGTCACGGGTCAGGATCTGCCACCGCCCGGGGTCTGTCACGGGTCAGATCTGTCACCGCCCGGGGTCTGTCACGGGTCAGGATCTGTCACCGCCCGGGATCTGTCACGGGTCAGATCTGTCACCGGCCCCGCCGCTCCTCGGTGTGACACCGGCCGGGGTGTCCCCTGTCACCCAGCACACGCTTGGTGCCTTGGCTCGGGTCCCCTCCGTGCTCAGGGCCCCGGGGGATGCTCGGCCCCAGCCGTGGGTGTCGGTGCTGTGCACCAGTCCCAGGTGCAGCTCAGCTCTGAGCCGGTAGATCTCCTCCTTCCTAACCTATTTGACTCTTCCAATCACTTCTTATCTTCTACATTACTGCCTAACCATTATTTCCACAACCATTCCATTTGACTCTTCCAATTACTTATCTTCTACATTACTGCCTAACCATTATTTCCACAACCATTCCATCTTTATAGTTATGGAAATATCTTCTTTCCATCACTTCTGTCTTCCTCACAAACAAACCTGCAGCAGACCAAAGGTATCTCACAAATTCAAAACCTGGAAGTCAGATTTCCTCCCCCGAACAGATCAGGTTTGTCTTAACAAACCTGTCAACAATGGAAATTCTGAGGTTTTGAGTTGGTTAATGTCCTGTTTTTCCTGCAGACACTGTATGAGTAATGACATCAGCATTGCATACATCAGCTGGCATACTCTATAAATCATGATACATTTCTAAGAAATAAAGAACATTTTGCTTAAGGAAACACAGATAGGTCATGACCTGCACATTGCCTTTTCTTTTTCTGACAGCAAAAGGTAAGGTGTTAAGTGATTCATAGATGGAAAAAATTCAATTAAAAAATAGCTGCTGTCATAGCAGCTAAAAAAAAATTTCTTCAGGCAGCTTATTTCTACTAGGAGGTGCTCTTGGACCTGGGATTGGATGTGCCTCTCATCTGTTTTCAGATGCATCCTCAACACTGTGTGTTCTCTTCACAGTGTTGTTGTGTGTGGTTTAGCTTAAAACAGCTCACAGCCCAGGGAACCACAGAGCACCTGGGGCTCAGACCCTGAAGCCATCCCCTCTTCCCAGTTTGGGTACATGCTGTTTATCAGGATTCTGAAAGTATAGGTAATTCCCGCTGATAGATAATTTGATGGCTCATCTCTGATGGTTGCATAATTAAGCTCAAGAGGCAAAACTGTTCCATAAAGTTAAGATCAATTTGTTAGACCAATAAGCAGAATGAAGTCCAATAATGGACTGCTCAATATTCCATGCAAAGTTTCCTGTTGCAAGGTGGACTTTGGGTTTGGGATTTGTGGGGGTTTTGTTTGTTTGTTTTTGTTTTTTCTTTTTTTTTAATTTGTTTGTTTGTTTTGGTTTGGGTTTTTTTGGGTTATTTTTTTTTTCCTATAGCTTAAAGCATAATTCTTGCATACACACTAGATTTAAATGCAAAATATTTTTTCTTCTTTTCTTCTTTTCTTCTTTTCTTCTTTTCTTCTTTTCTTCTTTTCTTCTTTTCTTCTTTTCTTCTTTTCTTCTTTGTGGAAAGATGCTTGCAGCATTTTTCATAGGAAAAATGCTTGCAGTTAACCCATTCCCAGTGGGACTCCTGCATGTGCTTTTTTTCTGGCTTTGAGCCTCAGTGTGAAAACCATCCAGACCTCTTCTAAATACAAGAAATATTTGTAGCTACAGTTTATGGTTTGAAATGAACCATCAATTACCACCCAGTTGGATTTATTAGATCTTATTTGGGTTTGTGTGATTATTCTTCTTGCTGCACTGTTTCTCGAAGTGTATGGACTGTAGTTTCTGGAAGGCTGTGCACGGGTCTGGAAGGTCCAAGTCCAACAAGGCCAAAGACTGGAAGAGCTTAGCACAAGGTGCCTTTATTTCCACACCCTGTTAGACCTGAGCATCCTCGCTGCTGGGCACACCACAGGGTGGGTTCGCTGCTGCCAGCTGGTGTCCTGATCTCCTCCTTCCTCAGTTCCACTTCCCTTGGGAGTGACATGGGTGGGGAAAGGCTCTTTCCCTGGCAGATCAGAGCGTGGCTCGGTTGGTGCAGTCCTACGTGGTGGCTGTCCCACGGGGTTCCTCACTTCAGGAGGGCCTGCAGTGGCACGCCCTCGGGAGTGCTGGCTGCTGGTGGCACTTTCACTCTGGAAGAAATAAATCACGTTTGGGCTGACGGACAGAAAAGTGGGAAGGCCAACAGGCCCACTGGGGTGTGCCTCCTTCCCCTGCCACCCACAGACGGGGAGCTGCAGGCAGCAGAGAGGGATGTCCCCTCTCCTGGTCAGAGTCCAGGCGCAGGGCAGGAGGGAGGTGGCTCACCGTGGCTTCTCCACGTCCTCGATGCCCTCGGGAAGGCGCACGTTGAGCGTCTCCGGCAGCAGGAAGGCCGCGGCGCCGCTGCACACCGCCACGCCGCAGTAGGTCACCTCGGGCAGGGACCGCCACACCTCGTCCAGCAGGAACACCAGCGGGGCCAGGGCCCCTCCCAGGCGCGCCATGAAGGAGGTGTACCCCATCCCGTTCTGCCTGGAAAGGTGCAGAGCACCACGGCAAAGAGAGGGCTACTTGTGTCATGTCAGGCCTCTGCATTTTCCCCGTGATTTTCTCTAAGTGCTGAGCGGTTTTTTTCCCCTGACTTTTCCCTCTGCCATTTTCTTCTTTTCTTTCTTCATATCTCCCTAAAATAATCTATCCCAGAGATCAGCTGTAGCTGCTGTGAGAAACAGATTTATGTCTATTGTGAGAAAGGAGCTGCAGTTCCACACAAGAATACCTGCTCTAAAGCTGTTTCCACTTTAAATGTGTAAAACCCTGAGAGAATTTTCTAATAGTAAGACTAGTGAATCTTCCAACCTGCTTAGAACACATCCAAGTTCCTCTTCTCCCAGGTACTTCTAGGTAGGTGGCATACACTAGAGATACCTGTGAGCATTTTTGGTCCAAGGAAGGAGCCCTTGGAGAGGAGACCAGAAATAAGACCTAATTTTGAGGGGATGGGTGGCATTTCACACTCATGACAAGGATCCCAGGACCTGCTTGTGCATATACAGAACAAGTACTGCAGAAGGAACCAACAATTTTGTCTTTGCCAATGTCCTTGAGCATGAAAGATACAAATTGATCTGGGATAAGAAGTAGCAGATCGGTGTGATCACTTTGATTTAAATGTGGATCTTTGCCCACATTCAACAGACCTTTGAAAGCTGAAGGACTAAATGGCAGAGGAGGGTTCTCTGGGCAGGAAGGGACAGGAGTGAAGTAGCCCACAAGGCCTCCTGTGATTCATGGGGATTTTTTCAGACTTCCACAAAGAAATCATTGAGGTGATGCCCTCCACCACACTTAGCTATATCCCCACCTATGCAAATGCCAAATCTGGTGTTCTGTTACCATTCCTCAGGTATGTCAAATAAGCTCTGTTTTTCCTCCTGAAAGGCTGGTTAATGCCTCGTTTAATATCATTCAATGTCCAAAAGACTCTCAAACATGGTAGTATGTGTCCCTTGTAAAACTTGATATTTCAAGTTATTATTTTCAGATTCTTTTAACAATCCCTGACAGATTATAACAGGGAACAAAGATATTAGTAAGCACAGGTGCTTTATGGAGTGCAAAGATCTTCCCACACAATACTCCTCACCTTTCCATTCATCTTCCTGTCAGCACAACCCAGGTGAAAAAATGGGTGGCTTTCTGCCTCTCTCTTGTGAGCATAGGAATTCCCTAGGACCTGCTAGTTCCAGAGGCAAGGGGCCAGTGCTGCAGTGTGGTCACCAGCACATCCTGCTGTGCTGGTGGTCAGGGCCTGAGGGCAGCACCCCAGCCAGGCCCTGGGGGTGTGCTCTGGTGGGTGGCATCTCTTACTTACCTCAGAATGGTGGGGTAGAGCTCTGAGGTGTACAGGAAGACGGTGGTGAAGGCAGCTTCTGAGAAACCCTTGCCCATAATGGCCACTACTGAACGCAGGGAGGTGAAGGCTGGGGGAAGGAAAAGGCATTTATGGCAGCGAGCTGCCTCCAGGAAGGAACTTCCAGGTATAAGAGGGAGGAGGTTCAGTGCTCCCACACACAAAACAGGGAGCTTCGTAGCCCTGGAGCTGCTGTCTCCAAAGGCTGGGTCTGCAGGTTTAGTAAATATTAGCCCAAGTGAGAGCTGAACTGATGACAGGGTAGCTCCTGACAGTTCCCATTGCACAAAGTCTATAATTAAGGTAGGCACTGTGCCTTGCCATTGCTGGACCCTTTAGCAGTCACTCGACAGTGACTGGAAACCATCTACTGTGACCAGATTTGGGTTAGCCCACATGAGTGACCTTGTCTAAAACTTTATAATAAATACTTTATAATATTTTCTTCTTAGACCCTGATCACGTGTATGTATATCACGTCCAATCTGACAATAACATCTCATGGACACTCTTAGGGTGGAGAAATTCTCAACGAAGAATGGCCCATGGGCAAATCCATGGCTCTCCTTCTCCAGCACTGCACAACACAGACCCCCTCCCCCTGTGGCAAACAGAGCAGGAGAGCCTCTCACGCTTGGGGATGACGATGTTGGCTCCTATGCAGACTCCGGCCAGGATGAGTGTCCAGGCCTGGCTCTGCCGCCGGCCGATGCGGTTCACCAGCACGTACATCACCATCTTGGCTGGAATCTCAATGACGCCGAAGACAAACTGGGAGAGGTAGATGCTGAGCCCAAAGCCTGTCAGGCTCATGCTCATGCCATAATAAGAGAAGGCAACGCCAAACCTGCAAGGAGAGAGTGGAGATGGGGCTGGGAAATCCCTCTGGGGACTGCAGGATGAATTCCTTGCCCTGCCCCTTGTGAGTGAAATTGCTTACCACACCACACCAGAGCACAGAGAGATCTTCCTCAGGACCGGGGTCCTGAACAAGCTGATGTAGGAGTAATTCCCTCCCATGTTTTTGTCTGTTGCCATCCTTGTGAGGGCCTGGCGGAGATGGAAAGAAAGAAATAGCTCAGCTGTTCTTCTGTTAGGATGCAGACATGAAACCCCAGACAGGCTGGGGACTTTGCCCTTCCCAGCTTCAGATCCACCTTGGATTTCCCATACATTCCCTTTGCAGAACCATTCTCTGAGCATACATTTTCAGAGTCATGTCTTCCTGCAACTTTACAGATTGCCTGCTATTTTAGACCTCTTTTTCTTCTCATGGTTTCTTCCTCCCTCTCACCGACATGCCCCATGTAGCAGAGAGGTCTGTAGAGAACTGGCAGATGGAAAAGTCAGTGTTGGCCAGTTCCACCCTCTTCCCCATGTGGCTGTGTGCTGTTGTATGAAAAGCTAGCAGTGAGCTTCTTGCTTTGTTCTTAGGAGTGCATTCATTTAAAGAGTAATTATTTTTCCATCTACTTATATAAATACAAATACCAAAAAAGTCAGGCAACTGAGAGAAGTTCTTCTTCACTGCCTGTGAAGAAGAAGAGACTGCTTGTCCAAAAAGGTTTTTGGCAATTGATTGAGGAGTAAGTACCAGCAGAGTAAATGAGTTCTATTTACTCCAGTGTCCAGTCCACTGAGGCCTCCTGCCATGGCAAAAACAATTGGAAAGACACTCCACCTAATGGATGGGATTTCTGGCCTTATGGGAGCTGAGTTGGTGCTTTATCTTTAGGAGTGAATTTCTGCTTTCCAGAGGAAAATGTCCACAGACCACACTGCAGGCTGAGCATTGCCCCAGGTATCAAACAGAAGTAAAACATAGGGAGACAAAGGGGGAAAACAAGAATGTATGTCTGGATCTCCGGTTCCTTACCTCTGGTGAGACAGCAAAGTCTTTCCTTCCATTCATTCTTGCACACCTGAGCAGGTGCCTGTGGGCTTGCTTCACTTTGCCCTTGGCTATGAGCCACCGGGCAGACTCTGGGACCCACCTGCAGGTGCAAGGAGAGGAGACTGTTCCTCTTGGAGCTGCCTGCTCTCCACCCCATATCCATGGCTCTGGCATCTTCTCCATGAGACTTCCACCTAAATGTAACAGCTGTGGTGCATGGGAAGAGCAGTGGGACACCCTTTTGGCAGGTACAGGCTCTTCTACCCCTAAAGGCTGAGCTGGCTGAAGTTTCAAACTCTTACCAATTACAACTGGCCCCAGGGAATTTTTATTTACATATTTGTGCTTCCTGGGGCTCTTTAAACTTTGAAATTGTCAGCTATTAAAAACCACAATGTAGAAAGGATTCGGTGAGCTCTATACATACTTTGTTAGTTGCTAAAATGATTTGGTTTTCACAATAATCAAAGCCTTCTGCACACTGGAGTCTCCCACTAGAATGGTCCAAGACGAGATCCCTACAATCCAATGTTTGTGATTCATGTGCCCTAAATCAGATTACAGTAAAACTAATGAGCAACTGTTGTCACTATTCTAGCAGGAACTGAAAATGAAGTGTAGAGCAAAAATGTTTGGAGAATTGGTCTTGTTGAAAGTTTTCATCTCCTTCCGACAAGCTTACAACCTTGGGAAATATAAAGAAGGAAAGATGGCATTTTGCACTCATTGCCACTGTCTCGAGAGAGTCATACCATGTATTTTGGTTGTCTCATGTTTCCACTGAGTTCTGACATTGTGTCAATAATATCTACAGAGTGCTAAATTAGATTTTAATTCCATACTTCAGAGACTTTCAATTTTCTGCAATCACTGACCTTATGGGTGCTTGAAGACTAGAGTATAATTTGTTGGAGAACTAATCTCCATGAAAGATAGTAACATAAGAAGAAAAATCAAAGAGTTATGATGAAAAGGGGGGTTCCAAATGCATCTGTGAATTTCAGCACTTCCAAGGACTCAGTTTTTTATGGCAGGTTGTCCTAGAAAGAGAGCAAAACAACTTGAACTAAGAAAGTCAGCAGGACACATATTTCAGTTGTGTTGGACTTGATCAGGGAAATACCAGAAGCTGCTCTTTAGACTGCCAGTGAATCAACTCTGTATTCTAATTTGTATTACTTCACGGGGAATAATAAAATAAAATTAAAAAAAAAGATGGAAAAATTAAAGTTTCTTTGATTAAATGAACCATCTCCCATTTTAAGGCTTAGGAGATGTCAGGTATTCTTAAATAAGGCTGCAGGGGGGAAATTGCCCATATAAACCAGGTGTATTTGGCCCATCAGGATGGTTGCACACCTGAGAAAACCTTGGGAATGCAGAGATAGATGGACTTGACCTAGCCTGAAGGTGTCAGTGGCTTCCATGGAAAATTTTGTATTCTTCCCTGTGAGGTGGGGACAGAGAACTGATAAATGTTTTATCTTGAGTTTACTAAGGATTAAAGCCTGGATCTGGTTGAGTGTTCCTTTACTGGAATATCTTTTCTTTACTCTGAGCCACATCTGACAGAGCTGGCAGCACCAAATCCTGCTTCCACCTGTCATCCTAATGCCTCAGCCTCATTCCTGCCTCCTCCTTGTCCCCTTGTGATGTAACCTTGCCTCCTGGCCTTGCTGGAGAGACAATCCCCAGGCCACTCCAGTTTTCCAGAGCTGCCACACCTGGGCAATCCAGCTGCAGGACACAGATGAGTCCTGCTGGTCCTGAGGCTGCTGAGCGACTCCAAGGATCCGCAGAGGAGGCAAATCCCAGTGTGCCTCCTCCCTGGAGGCTGCACTCACCACAGGCAGACGATGCTCAGGAGACAAGGCGCTGTCACGGCCACCAGCAGCCAGTGCCATTCCCGCACCAGGTAGGCTGCCAGGGCCAGCAGCATGTTCCCAACGCTCCAGAAGATGCTGCTCAGGATCCCGGTGAAGGTGCGGTGCCGGACGTCCACCCACTCCATGCCTGGAAGAGGGAGCAGCATCCAGCTGGGACATGCAGGACTTCTCCAGCAAGGGAGGGCCTGCAGGGCTTTTTAACAAGGGCAAAGCAAGGGAACATCCCTGCGCTGCTCCTTCACAAAGTTACACTGCTTGGCTGATATTTGGAACATTTAAAATACTCAGCCACAGTACTTAGGTTGTTGCAAAGCTGTCAGTCACTAAAATAAAACTTCAGAGAAAGAAATATTGGACATGTGTTAAGGAACAGTGCTAAAACCACTCTTGGTGATATTTTTTTTTAACCCATTCAATAGTATTGGTCTTCTTCATCAACCAGATTTTTTTCCCCCTAACCATCTTTCCTGCACAGTTTCCCATTTCTCTGCCCACTCATGATTTCAGATTAAAGAAATAGACTGAGAAGAATTGTTGTTCACATGGAGCCCACCCAGAGCAGACAGCAGCAAAAGTGCAAAGGCAGCTGGGGGTGTCCTTGTCTGTGTGTGTGAACTAAAAGCCAGTTTTCCTCCAAAGGTTTGGACATCTTGCTACAACCTCTAGCAATCAGAAATGTCCCTCCCAAGCTTCACTATGACTTGCAGAAATCAACCTTTATAGCAATAAACAAACACAGCAGGCCTTGGGATTTGTCAAGTCTTGTGTGGGCTTTTCCAATACTGAAGCCATTATAGCTTGATTTTGACTAGGTCTGCAAAAATCCTGGAAATTTCTGCTGCAACTCTTAATTGTTCGTGGGTACAGTACTTTTTGCCCAGTATGTCCCAACTGTATCTACAAAATTATCCAGTGTTTTACTGGATATCCTGAAATCTGGAGCTTGTTTTTATCATGTAATTACCTAAATCCTTCACCTTCAGTTTTGCCTAGCTCTGTGTGGTTTTTTAAAAATTCTTTTGGTAGTTCTTCTCATTGTAAAATACAGATTGGCAGCTTAGGAAAGCTGTGAGCAAACTCGAAACTGGAAACACCCTGTAAGTGACACATGTGCTGAGGACAGGGCAATGCTGCTGAATTGTCCTAACAGTGTGTGCTTGAAAGGTGAGAACTTTGCACGAGTGGAAAGGGGCAGAGACTTTGGAGTATGGCTTCAATTGTGATGATACCTGACAGTAATTGGGTAGCTTGTTGCAACAAAAGTACTAACAAGTGGTTGTATTTTGAGTAGACTGTCAAATATTAATTAGACTGACAGCAAATTGTAATTCTGGGATCCCTGCAAGGGGGAAATTGCGCGCGCAGTACAGGCTTTGTACGAGAACTTTGTAGGAGGAAAGGGGCAGAGACTTCGGAGTATGGCTTCAGTTGTGATGATACCTGACAGGAATTGGGTAGCTTGTTGCAACAAAAGTACTAACAAGTGGTTGTATTTTGAGCAGACTGTCAAATATTAATTAGACTGACAGCAAATTGTAATTCTGGGATCCCTGCAAGGGGGAAATTGCGCGCGCGGCGATTTCCAGACCGCTGTTCCTACCACGTCTGCCCTGCCTGCCGGAGAAATCCCTTCCCACCCACTGCCTGCCAGGAGCCCCCCTGGCAGCCACAGCCCCCCACACTCACCCAGAGGCAGGACAATGAGGGAGAGGCCGCTCAGGGCCACCCCGGTGAGGGTGCGTGTGACGGCCAGCATGGTGTAGGACACGGAGGCGGCGCTCAGCATCCCCAGAGCCAGGGAGCACACCAGGGACAGCTGCAGCATGGTCTTCCTCCCGAACCTGCCACGAGCACAGCCTGGGTTACAGTGGCTGGAAACCTGTCACGGGAGCAGGGTTTGGAGTGGGCAAACCAGAGATTTTAGAGGAAAATTAAAGGACGCAGCGTCCTGGAGAGGAGGAGGTGGCTCTGGATCAAGCTGGTGCCACAGTGGTGCAGTCCCGTGCAGAGCCCACCCCATAAACATTGGGAGTCTCCAGTGGAATGACCAGTGCTGCTCAGAACAACAAATCTGGCTCCCTCTCCTGGCCAGATCATCAAAAGCTGTGATGCCAGCTTGAAATCCCATGTCACACCCTGCTCCCTCCAGTGTCCATGTCCTCCTCCCATGGCTTTCTCAGGACTGGCCACTGCCACCACTCTCAAGGAGGAGACAGAGCCGTGACACTTCCACCCTGCTCCTTGGAAGGGAAATGAAGGAATCCAATTGTCTGCCCACATGTGCAAATAGCCCTGAAATCCTAAGGGGTTTCTGAGGAATCTGCCAGGATGTTGTTGTTCCCCTGGGGTTTCCTTACCCCATTGTCCAGAGTCGTGTGTGGAGAGTGTGGAGAAATACCAAACATCAAATGCACACAAATGCAATGTAAATGTATATAAAGACACACACTCTCTCACAGACAGAGAAACATGTCTGCACGTATTTCTACACAACCTATGAAAATCTAAAAATCCAAACGGACCACAAGGTGTTGGTGTCCTGATGAACATCAGCACTGCATGTCAGGAAAGCTTAGGCTCAAGCAGCAATAACAGATTAAGCCTGCCTGCAGGTGATGTTCAATCCACAAGGGCTGAAATCCTGCTCTGATCCTGGCATTAGGGCTCTCCCAGTGGCCCCCTGAGAATGATTGCTCCAGGGGAAAAAGTGGCATGCCAGGACATGATGCCACAGTAACATCACACACACTCTCTTACAGACAGAGAAACATGTCTGCATGTATTTCTACACAACCTATAAAAATCTAAAAATCCAAATGGACCACAAGGCGTCATCTCTTAATGAACATCAGCACTGCATGTTAGGAAAGCTTAGGCTCAAGCAGCAATAACAGATTAAGCCTGCCTGCAGGTGATGTTCAATCCACAAGGGCTGAAATCCTGCTCTGATCCTGGCATTAGGGCTCTCCCAGTGGCCCCCTGAGAATGATTGCTCCAGGGGAAAAAGTGGCATGCCAGGACATGATGCCACAGTAACATTCCCAAAAATAATCAAAAATTACTTCATTCAGCAGCTGATAAATGAATCTACTGGCAAAACCCCCCAGCTTGTGGCTTGGGTACAGGGAGTTTGCTGAATCTATTTGAAATTTAAGCTGAGACAATTTGTAAAAGATATTGTGATGCCCCTGGGTCAGAACAGGAAGCACCCAGAAACCCCCCAGAGCTGGATCCAGTTTCCAATGGGAAACTGCCCAAGAAAGAAGATGCATTTTGTAAATGAAGATTTTCCTTGAAAATGCAGTAAGGAGGGTATAAAGCCATAATTTTCCCTGCAGGAGTCAAGGCAGCTATTTAAGAAACCATTACTGGGCTCTCAGCAAATGCACACTACCTGCTAGGAAAACCAGGAGTGAGCTGCCAGGATTCAACTGCAGGATATAGGGAGGCTGCTAGAAATAATGCCATTAAAATTGTCTTCAAAAGAGAGTGGAAGGAAAGCACAACTTCTGAAAGATTGTAGAAAATACAATTAAAGGAGCAGACTGCAGAAGCATAAAAATTAATAAAAAAGCCATTTTCATAAAAAAAACCCAACAATCTGGAAGTCTGCCAAAGCATTATTGAACCAATTCAGTACAAGGACAAGTATAAAAGGAGTCTTTGGAGAAGAGCAGACAATAACAGAAACAATATATGTGTATTTTTGCATGCATTTGTTCACAGTGAAGGTTTTTGGAGGGTTTACCTGGGAAAAATTTGTCAGTAGAGAAGTTCTCAAATCCAAATATCTGTAATGGCTTAGAAAAAACCTGAACCTGAACAGCAGCAAAATGCCAGATGATTTTCCCCCTGGAACACCAGAGATGAGATCTCTGCCTCACTGTTAGCACAAAGAAGTGGGATCTCATCTCTGTCAGAGAAAAGGAAGGTTGCTAATGGGAGGTTGACTTTAAGAGGTGATAGGGGAGATGTGGGGGGTGACATCTGAGGTTTAACCTAAAGATCCTTAATTTTCCTCGTGCTTCTCTAGCCACTACTCATTGCTGTGTGGATGTTTGCCCAGAGCAAAACTCTGTTTAGCTGTGAAATGCCAAAATCTTCCTGCTGAGTAGCTGTGGTCAGCCCACAGACTCCATTTTAAATGAGAGGTTTAAATTGTTTCTCTATTTTAGATTAATCTGCCCTGAAATTCTGTTTTCTGAGTCTCTCATCCAGTCACAGAGTCCTTTAGCTCCTTCTGCAAAGTCTCCACCCTCCAACCTCATCTCAGCCAGACTCAGCATCCCCTCCCCACGTGCTCCCTTCCCAGATTATTTATAAATGCACTGAAAGGCACAAAAATCCAAGGCTGCTCCCTTGTCATAATGGGGCACTTGCATCTCCTCTCTTCTTCCTGGCTTTTACTTATTTAGTCATGCTGAGACCTTCCTTCTTACCCTGGGGCCGCTGAGTTTCTGAAGGAGTGTTTGGTAAGGACTTTGAGGTGGTGTCTCCTCTGCTGACATGCCTGTTGATCCATGCAAAGAAATCCTGTACGTTTGTAAGGCTTGGATCTTTTGGGAAACCCCAAAGGCTGATTCTTCCCTGGTGTTTCCCACCTCCCCCTGGGGCTCTGGCTCCACCTTCCAGAGGAGATTCTGCCAATTTGCCTGGTCCAGACTGAGATCAGGCTGCCTGGCACTCCTGAGATCTTATTTTGAGACCAGTTAAAAGCTTTTCTGTCCCCAAGATGCTGCAGGGCTCCAGGATAATATCTCCTTACTCCTGGCATTTAACTGGCATTCCTCTGGTGTATTTCTCTCTGCCTTCTTCTGTCAGCTTATTTCAAAGCTCCAGCTCCAGCATCTGCCTCTACACATTCTCCCACTGTGAGCACAGACTCATTCATGTCTCACACCACAGAATTTTTATTTCCAGATGCTCCTTTTATGCCTTGATCCTCTGCTGGCTCTTCCCCCTCACAATCCATTTGTGAAACAAATTACTTTTCATTTTGTGCTACCTTGTGTTATCTTCTTTTCTGCCATATTTTGTCCTGCTCCCTTTCTCAATTCTGAATTTCTCTCTCTCCAGCTGTGCTATAAAACTATTGTAGATACAAGGCCAAGGCACACAGCTTGGAAATCATGCAGGTGTCTCGGGTCCTTGTACAAGCGTAGCCATGTTCCCATGGGTAAAGATATGGATGTAAAAATTCCCATCTGCAGCACTAAAATCTCTGGGTCCTTCACACTTCAGGTTCCCCTCTGCAGTGATTTTGCAGCTTGCTGTACTCTAATTCCTCCCAGAGGAAGGAAATCAGGAAGCAGTTTCCCAAAAATGAATAATGTACAGGGAACAGCACATCCCCACTGTGTGCCTGGACTCTCTGTCCTCTGATGGTTTTCCTGGTTTTGCTGTTTGCAAAAGTATTTAGGTTCTTATCTGATGCCCTTCCTAGATTATTACTTGGATTTATTTTTCAGGTTTATATTGTCACATCCCAACATTTAACCAGAGAGAGCAGATTTGTTTCTGTTTTCTTCATTGCTTCACCTTTTCCTTAAGGAATTAAATACCTCCCTGATTGTAAAGAATCTCCTTTACCCTGATTCTCTAGGAATGACAGAGTCAGATTTTGCTTGCTGGAGACTCTTTAGAGCTATGGCAAGCATTTGCCCCTCCCTTGGGTGTCATTAGCCAATTTGTGTATAATTTGCAAGGAATTAACCCTTTTAGCTTTTTTGTCCAGCTTTGTATCAATCAGCTTACTCCATTTTTAGACTGAAACTGGTCTTGCAGACTGGATTTTTTTGTTTGTTTGTTTTTTTTATTGCTCCTGCAGCACTTCTGACCACAGTCAGCAGGGCACCTGACTCCTAACCAAGGCCAGAGCTGCCTCTCTGATCCGGGAAGCATTTCCTGGCTCACTGGTCCAGGAAGCTCTTACTCCCTGCATGCCTTCCCAGTACAGCCTGAATCCAATTTCTGGGAGGCTGGATCTCCCTTTGCAATTGCCTTTTCTCCTTTCCCCGCCCCTCTGACTGCCTGTTGAAGGTCCCATGTGTGAGGAATTCCTCGTGTGGAGCTGAGGCCGCGGAGGAGCAGTGGGAGGGATCAGACCTGTCGGAGAGGTACCCGAACACCATGGCCCCCATCGTGACGCCGATGAAGAAGAAGGTTGCTGTTGCCTGGTTCAGCCCACGCTGCTCACACACGAGGTCCCACTGAAACACAAGGCCAAAATGACACTTAGTGCCCAGCTCAGTCCCTGCTGCCTTCTCAGGCTCCTTCATTCCAGTGGTCAGACATTGCATCTTGCAGTTTGTACCTGCTGAGTGTGGTGGATGGATGGAATCCTGCACTAAACTGCACATCAGACAGTGCCAGGGGCCTGGGAAATGGAAAGCTGTGTCTTAAGTCCCAGTTATCCACCCCCACTGTGAGAGCCTCTCTGAGAACACTTCATAGAATCACAGAACTGTAGAAGATGCTGAGCTGGAAGGGACCCATCAGGGTCACCGAGTCCAACTCCTGGCCCTGCACAGAACATTCCAAAAGTCACCCCAAGTGCCTGAGATTGTTGTCCAAATGCTTCTGGAGCTCTGCCAGACTGGTGCTGTGACCACTGCCCTGGGGAGCCTGTTCCAGTGCTCAACCACCTTCTGGGTGAAAAACTTTTCTCTGATACCCAACCTAAACCTCCCCTGACTCAACTTCAGCCCATTCCCATGGGTCCTGTCACTGGTCACCACAGGGAAAAGATCAGTGTCTGCCCCTCCACTTCCCCTTGTGGGGATGTTGAAGACCCCAGTGAAGTCTCCCCTCAGTCTCCTCCAGGCTGGGCAGACCAAGTGACCTCAGCCACTCCTGCTGTGGCTTCCTCTCCAGCCCCTTCACCATCCTCGTGGCTCTCCTTTGAATGCTCTCCAACAGCTGAATGTCTTTTTTACATTGTGGTAATGTACTCGAGGTGAGGCTGCCCCAGTGCAGAGCAGAGGGCACAATCCCCTCCTTTGACTGGTTGGTGATGCTGTGCCTGATGCACCCCAGGACAGGGCTGGGCATCAGAAAACTGCCCTGGGGACCACACATGGAGAGTTCCTCACTTTCTCCTCCTGACCTGTGCAAGACCTGCCCAGGTGCAAGTCTCTCCCCCAGCTTGTTGGGGGAGATTCAAGCTCATTGAATTCAATGGATTCAAGCTCATCCCTCTGTTGTGCCCTGAGACTGCCCTGGTGAGCTGGGCATTGGCAGGGTGTCCCACTGCAGTGAGCTGTGACACCCTCAGCGAGCACTGGGGAATGTTGTGGTGATAACCAGTTTTATCTTGCCCTGACCAGTTGCCTTGGAAGTTGTCTGTGCAGGGAAGGAGGAGGGCAGAGGGGAAGTAAGGTCAAATACTTGCTCTTAATACTAACCTATTGATTTCTTACTGAGGAGTTGGTTTGGACATTCATCCTAATCAAGTTAATGAGCATGATTTTACTTTCTTGGAGGTGCAAATATCACAAATCTCTACAGAATGCTGCGGCAAAGCCGCAGAGTTAATTTTTTTTCTCTGTGTGCAAATGTGACAAAATTTAACCATCAGCCCAGACTTGCAGCCTCTCTGAAGAGGCCAGCTAGACCTCGAGCAGCCTGTCTTGCCACAAGGGCAGAATTCCAGAGAAAGCCCTGATCCCTTGCAGGGGTCCCGAGGCTGCTGGCCATGGGAGCAGCATCACGAGGCTCCATGCTGCAGAGTACCTCCTTCTGCCCTCTCCCTCAGCACTGCCTCACAGCTTTCTCCAGTGCAGAAATAGGTGCAGACCCAGGGCACCACGACCCTCACCCCTGTGCCTGATGAAAGCAGGAGTGGTTGGGTGGTGGGGAGGAAGCAGCTCCAGGCTAAGGCTTGTCCCTGCTCCCACTGGGACAAACCAGCACAATCATTCTAACCCAGCTGTGCCCCTTTTGCCTGACCAAATTTCCCCTTCCCTGAGACCTTGTGTGATTTGGACTGTTTCCCAAGGAAAGTAAAGCATTAACACCCAGAGGTATCACTGCTAGCCCTGGAAAAGTGTTTCAGAAGGTGGGTGGTTAATATTTGATGGGCAGGAACCTTTTGTAGGCTCAAGGTTATAGCTGGTTAAGAGTGGAAGACCCTCAGAGAGAACATTTGATTTGGGAGAGATATTGGTGGTAAGAGAGGCAGCACAACCCTGGGGAGAAGAGAAGGAAGGTGAAGATCAGTGAGGAGGGGTGGCCAAGGGAATAGAAGTTATAAAGTGTTTGGAAAACCAAGAAAGGAAATCAAGAGCTCGTGTGAAACCCTGACAGATGCAATCTTGTGCAAATGCCACACAGAGAAAATCCTATATCTGTGTCCTTCCACTGCCATCTGACCCCTCCCAAATCCCTCAATCATCTGGAAAAATTAGGATGATTATAATGAGAAATGTTGGCATCAATCTAAGCAAGATGAGATGCTCACAAAAATAATATTAATAAATGCTCGCTCCTATACTGAGCTTCAGAGAGCTTCCCCCTCCCAGGACATCTTCTCTGAACAGATCATGTCCACTGGTTACAATGCACAGATTGCCCTCTCATTCTGTGCACTCAGCAAACAACTCTCCATCTTCTCATCAAAGCACAGAGCTAATTTCAATTTTGGCTGGATCCCAGGCCAGGAATTACCTGGGTGGAGATGGTGGAGGTGAACTGCGAGTGGTCATAGACCCATCCGTGCTGGCAGTGCTGGACGATGGATTTGTTTTCTGGTTGCAGAGAGGAGTTGAGCAGCAGGTGGAACTGGGGCTGGGAGAACATCTCACAGGAGCTGAAAGTGCCGTCGGGCTTCCGAGGGATGCTGATGAGCAGGACTTCCTCCATGGTGAGATTCACAAACGCCTCTCGGTGTGGAATTGCACAGTGGTGAGAGGGGGTAGCAGCAAGAAAGTTGTGCAGCAAGAAATGCATGGGAAGGTTGATTCTTGGGAGGCAGAGGATAGCCAAAATCAAAATCTGGAATCTGCCAAAGCCCCCAGTTTCCAGCAAGAGATCCTCAAATTTCATCTTTGCTGTGGAGTTTGCTCATTCAGAGCAGCTAGGTACCAAGGAGCAGCAACATGAGCTTGAAAAGCAGCCTCTGCTCTTGGGGCTCAACTTCCCATGGCTTTTCATACAGCCACCTCTTTGGACTTTGAGACCTTGCTGAAAGGTGTCAAAAGTCACAGTGGAACTCTCCATTTAGGGTATAGCCAAAGAAATTATCCTGTGTGCCCACAGCACATCCCTTTCAAACAGAAGACACAGCACAGGGCACCTGATCTTTTTGGAGTCCTTTCCTCCTGCTGTGGTTTTGGAGAGGGACATCCACATTATGAAGGGAGGCCGTGGGGGCAGCACTGTGAGAGCACTCTCATTTGTCATGTGAAGGTCCTGCAGCAAACTCTGCCTGGTGTGAGCTGGTCACCAGCCAGACCCACTGGACTGTGACAGAGGCCTCGGGAGGAGCAGGGGTGTCCCACTGTGTCAGGGCATCCCAGGACACCAAGCTTGGCTCCCGAGCACCAGCCAAGTGTGTTTTGGTGTGGTTTCTGTCAAGCCCTTGGAGCAGGGAGTGCAGAGAGGCTGAGAGGCTGCCTGGAAGAGAGATGTGTCTCAGGGTGGATGCAAGCAGGGAGCTGTGCCCTTTGGGTGAAAGGGTGGGTGAGGGCCACCTGCTCACCTGTGCCCTGCAAAGAATGGAAAAAGTGGAGATGTTTCCCCACAAAGTGCTTTTCTCCACCTGGAAAGGTGTTTTCCCAGGACAAGGGCAAGGAGTTGGTGAGAGCTGCATGCTGGCACGCAGAGAGGCTGCGCCTGTCGTGCTGGGGGCCATGGCACACTCTGCAGGGTCCAGCCCCGTGCTGCTGTGCTCTGGGGACCGATGTGACAGCCAGAGGAGTGAATGTGCAGCACCTGACAGGGCCACAGGTGCTGCTGCCTCCGCTGCACACACTGGGGATGAGATTGGGGCAGTTAAATTCAAAGCAGTGGGAGAAGGGGCTGACTCTGCCTGGGGTCCCTTTCCCGCAGGTTTCTTCCCACCTGGGGACAGGACATGAGCCTGCTTCCCTTGCAGCAGTTGCTCTGGGCAGACTGGCCCCATGGGGATGGCACATCCCAGAAGGTTGTGTCCCAAGCTCAGGGGGCAGAGCATCACACAGCAAGCAGGGGCAGCATCCTGCAAAGGCTACCGCTGAAGAAGCAGAGCAGTGCAGCTGCTGAGAGCTCGCTCTAAGTAATCTCCCACTGCATTTTCACCCTCTGTACCTCTCTGCTCGCTGTCTGTGCCCTCCCTCCTCCACCAGCCCTGCACTCTTGAGTGTTGGTAGGTGCTGAAGAATCATCTCCAACCTTTCTCCAAGCTGTTGCCCCAGGACATGCTCTGCTTTAAAGCAGCTCCAGTTTGGGCATTCACTGTGAAAACAGGGTCCTTTGCTGTTGGGATGCAGGCACAGCAAGGGTCTGGGCTCAGGGAATTTTGGAAGTGGTGCTGACTGCCAGGTGCTGCCAGGAGCTGCCTGCCTGCACTGCCTTGCCCTGCAGCCAAGGGCTGGGGACAAGGGGCTGTAGAGCAGCAGGTAGGGATGAGGAGATCCAAAAGAGCTTTCCACAGGGCTCCTGCTGTGGCTGACGGCCCAGACTGTGTTGTCCAGACATTGAGTGCTGCGAGGGCACAGAGCAGAATAACATGACGGTCTGTGACCTTAAGAGACCTTTTCCCTTTTCAGCAGCATACCTGGCCACCCATGTTTCACTAATGTGCTGCCCCAGTGCCATGGTATGAGCCATTTCAGTGTCCATCCCGGGACAGGCACAAAGGAAGCACACAGGAGTGAAGCAGGGACACCTGACAGTGCCGTGCCTCCAGGATTACTGTTTAAACTGAAGTTGAACTAAAGGACAAATTATTTTTTTCATCACCAGTCTTCTAAGAGCAAGGGAGAAAAACTCTAATTGATGTGCTGCTGAATATTTAAACTGCAAACAGATCCAGCCTCCCCATCAGAAATGAGATTATGGATCATTGTTCTGCAGCTCCCGCGCTCTGCTGCTTGTACTGCATTCCTTAAAATGTACATTGCTCTATTTCTTCAACCCAAATGTGTTTCTTTAACCAGTCACCAGCTTTAGTTAATGGCCAACACATGTGCAAGGTCTGTGACTGACTTGACTGAATTAACAACTTGGTTAATTAGATCTGGCTCAAACTGCTTGAACATGCCTGGTGAGAGCAGTCAGACTCCTGGGCTGCTGCTGTCACACATAATGCTGAAAGGAAGAGTTTACGTTTTACTTCACACTTTCTTCTGCAATCTTTCTTTCTGCTCCTTTTCAGGATGCCATCTACTTGTTGAGAGGGGTGGATTATTAAATTACTTGGTCACTAAGGTGTTAGCTTTTCTGTTTCCAGCAGCAATTTCCTTCTATGGAGCTGCAATAGCCTGGATGGTGCAAGGAGTGAAGGAGATGATTTGCTCCTTTAGCAATTGTGGCTGGAGATCTGATCAGTGCTTGCAGGCTGGAGCTTTAATGATAATTTTCTCTGTTCTCTCCAAGTCAGTGCCATGAAAATTGTGTGCATCAGAGCTGCTGAGGTGGACTTGCTGTCAGAGGGCAGAAGAGTCCCCTTCTCACTGCAGCTCACTGCAGGCTCTGATGCCTGCAGGAGGGAGATGTGACACAGAGGAAGGCTCCATTTTTTCTCTGATTTGTAAAGGCAGGGAGATCCCCAGAGCTGGCAGTGCCAGCTGAGGATCCCTGCAGTGTCAGTCTAAGGTGCACTGTGCTGCAGCAGCGTGTCCAAATGCTCTTGGCAGGATGTGTGCACACCAGATTTTGTAGCTCAGTTGGAGAAGGAGAAGGTGCAGCCAACAAAGAGGCCCTGGGGCTCCTGAAGGTCTTTGTTTGGTCAAAGAAGAAAGGGAGTTTATGCCCTTCTGACTTGGTGCCACGTTAACAAGACTGCTTTCCATTGTGTGCAGCTGTTTTACTCCACTGCACGAATGACAACTGTTTTGCAAGTAGACTGGGTCTGGTCAAAGGTTCTTTTATTACCTGTCAAAAATACAACATTGATTCTACCTTAGTGTGAAAGGACACGAGCCACTTCCATGTTGTCTGCTGAGTGTGATCATGGATCCACAGCCAGCACTTGTATGCTCCCTGCTTCCCAAACAGATCCCCCAGACCTGTCTCATGCCCCTTCTTACCCCTTTCCCTATCTCATGGAACTAATTTAGTGTCATTTTCCTCTAACCGGTGCTGTTGGGAAACTGTAGCAGGGCAGAGATTCAGCCCAAATTATCTGGCTACATTTTACTGAGGAAAGGGCAAATCCAAACTCCTCCATCAGTCAGGGAAAGAAAGGCACAGCAGGAAGTCCAGAGAGGATCACATGTTTTCAGGGATGAGATTCCATCTGATTAAATCACTCTCACTTAGGATAATCCTGTTTGAAGTAAAACATTGCCAGGGAACTCAAAACAAACCCACTGGTTCAGGGAGCAGCATGAGCAGGGAATGATGACCCAGGAGCTGGGAAGACTACAGGACTGGCCATGTCCTCCTCAACTGGGCACAGACCCAGAGTCTCAGCATGGCTGGCAGAACCAGGGGTGGGACAGAGCCAATCAACAGCCCCAGACACAGCGAGAGGATGAACCAGAAGCAGAGTCCTCCAGAGAGCCTGGTGTGGAGCAGGAGAAGGGCTGAAGACAAAGCAAGATCCATGCAGCACCCAGGGCAGGAGGCAGGAACGTGTCTGACACAGCTCAGATGGATGGGAGACACAGTCCTGAGCAGAAATGAGGTCCTGGGCTACAAGTAGAAGGTGCTTGGTGGCAGGTGCAGGGCAGTAACAGCCATTAGTGCCCCTGGGGCCCTGATTCTCTGAGGGGCCAGTGCTTTACATCAAAACTCAGGGAATGGTGTGAGTGAAAATACACATGGTCACACACTTGCACTGAAAGTACGGTTGGGGAAGCTACAGGCTTGAAGAACTTTTTCTCACTGGCATGAGAAAGGGTCCTTAGAAAGTACGGTTGGGGAGATGGTGAGAGAGATTTGCAGGGAATTCCTGAGTGGCTGGTGCAAGGTCCAGTGCTCACCTTGGCAGTGTTTCTCTGCCAGTGTGGCCATGTGCTTGTCAGGTCCCAACAGCTCCACAGCTCTGTCCTGCATTTCCTCCCCTGCCCAATGAGCTCCTCCCCAGAAGGAGTAAAGAAAAGCTGCAGGTGTCCAGGGAAGCTGCCTTCTCCATACAGCACCACACCTTCAGTGCTAGAACTTCTCTGTCTCCCTTCACTGATCACCTTCCTCTACTAATTACCTTGTTCCACCATGTTTCTCATTTAATCTAAGCATCTCCTAGCTCCTGTCTTGGGTGACCCAGACTTCAGTTTTGACTTTTCTGCCCTATGTTTGAATGGGGATCCTTTGCATTTTGCAGTTTCAGCAGTAAGGAACTGACTCAGGCTTCCTCTGAATCAATAAGAAACTCAGTACTCCATCTCCAACATTAACAAGACACATGACAAAGAGAGTAGGGCATCTGGTATTACTTTCCAGATGATCTTGTTGCCTCCAACCTATTCCTTGTTTAAGGATGCAATTTTTGTGACTACTCCTATGAGATGCACTGTCCCAAACTGGTTGCTTATTGACAATTTGCAATTTACATTTATAATTTGAGGCTAAAATTTCAATGTAATATTAGAAGTCTCTTCCAGCCTGAATTATCCTATGAGCCTATGGACATTTCTATGAGCCTATGGACATTACACCACAAGGTTTTGGGCTTGTTTAACCTCTTATTTTAAATCTGAGGCTTTACCTCTGTTTCAAACATGAATTAGTGAATTAAAAAAGCTGGACTCAATTGTGTTATTTTCTTTAGACATTTTTTGTACATGACGAAACCTGTGTGGATACTGTAAGTTTCTCATGGTCCCCATGGTACTCTCTGCAACTTCAAGGAAGTTTTGACAGCTTCCTTGAAGCTACAGGCTTGAAGAACTTTTTCTCACTGGCATGAGAAAGGGTCCTTGGGTCCAGCTGACTCCAGAGCCCATGGCTGCTCCGTGGCAGGCTCCCTCTGACATTAGAGAGAGGATGAATGCAAGGCTGGAAATAACAAGTGTTTCCTTGCAGTGCAGGCTTCCACTGCAGTGTTAAGGCACTCCTGTGGCTTGCCTTGTCTGCACTGGGGCTTTTCTTGTCTTGAAATACCTCAAGCTGAGCCCAGCAGTTTCTTTGGCTTTCCCAGTTTTCTTTGGCTTTTTTGTTTTTATAAAAAGCTGCTCCGAGTGAAGATTCTGCCTCCTCTTGCAAACCTGTCTTTTCCTATTTTGTGAGGCTATTTCAACATGAGCAGCCTGGTTTGGTTTCTACCTCTACTTGTCTTCTCATTTGACAAAGGCAGAGGCTGAATCCAGCACGTTGTTCCTGACAAACCTGCCTTCCAGAGAAACTCTCATTTTGCCATCCAGGGGTGGTGATGAAGCCCCTCTGCCAAACCCCTGCTAGCAGCTGATCCATGCAGTTCTGAAATACTTCTCAATTTCCCAGTTTATGGTGCTTTAAGTTTCATCTGCCTCTTCCTGACATAGGCTTTTAGGAGCTTTTATGTCCCAGTGTTTATTTTTATCATTTTGGATTCTACACTGGAGTCGAATGTGTTTTCTTTTGGCTATAGAAGAAAGAATAAAATTTGTCATCACAGGAATAACTTTCCAAGGGAGTAGGGTTTTTTAATTCTTTTCTGTTCCCTCTTCTACCACCCCCTCCTAAAGCTGGGTACTAAACTCTTACTAGACCCCCCTGGATGTGGTCTGCACAGCATAGGCATGAGGTAACTTGAGCATGGTAAAAGGAATGTTGTACAAGCTGTCCTCAGCTTAAACATCAGATGGTCAGAGAGCATTAAAAGTCAAACCATGCCAAGTTACTGGTTTGCTTTTGCTCCATTTCCCACATATTAACGTGCAGGTCCAACATGTCTACAAATCTGGCATCTTAACTGTGGCATCTAGACTTTGTAAAGCATATTTTTTTATTTTATTGTTGTTAAAAAAGGAGGCTTTTCTCTCTGACAAGTGCTGTTTTGGGAGTGGATGGCTGAGCCTGCTGCCTGCAGTGTGAGTGTAAACAAGGTTCATGGTGAAGGAACATGTCTTGCAACACCAATAAATGGGAGAAGACACCAATGAAAAGGTAGACAGGCTTTTAATGGCATGATCCAGAATCCCCTTTTAATAACAAATCTAATGACAACTGTGTCTGGTATGAACAAGAAATGGCATAATTGTTTATTTTTTTTAAGATGTGATCTGAAATTAAGACAAATGCCAGGTGGGTCTGTACACAGACAGGGCTTCTGTGATGCATGCCAGATTTTATGGCCAAGAAATTTGCCATGCAGTTGAACCAGATTGTGGTTCCTCAGTCGGAGTCCTACATTCTGTTTGCAGTGTGTAAACATTCTCCAGCTGCTTTCCTAAAGAATGCAAAGAAGATATGTAGAGAGATTTAGCCTTGGGATTCAGTCACATTTCCAGGCAGGCAGTACCAGGGAGCAGAAGTCCTGTCTCCAGAGTGTGCCAGAGGCGAAGGAAAACGTCGGTGCGCCAGGAACAGCGTCTGAGTGTAGAGTCACATGCTATCGTGTTAAAAGGAGATATAGAAAATTATCTGTGTTTCCAGCTCCAATTCCTGTCTGGAGAAGAAGCAGCAGGTCCCAGAGCACAGCAGTCCTGCTGACACTGGTTTCACACCCAGGGTACCCCACGTCCTGCAGAGCTCATCCCACCCTCCGCAGGGATGGTCCCGAGCCTGTGCCGTGCACTCCCGAGGAAAGATCAGCCCCAGCCTCCTCCAGGGAACCTGTGCCAGAGCTCCCTGTGCTCCAGGCAGGGCAACATGGGCCAAGCCAGAGGCAGAGCAGCCACTGAGGAGCACCGTGCTGACACCAGTCCTGCAGTATCTTCACCAAAGCAGAGCTCTCACCCCTGAGGCTCCTCTGGTTCAGGAGCTGAGAGCAGGAGAAATTATTATCTTCGTCCCTACAAGGAACCCACCTCTGGATTTACTTTGGTAGCTCCTTTCCTCCTTTCAGCACAGAGGGCATCAGTGTTTACTTTAAACCTGCTTTCCAGCTGTTTGCAGCTCCAGAAATAAAAGGGATAGTGCTCCTCCTTATGAGCTGTGTGGGGCAGGGCCTGCTGCACAGGTTGATGGCCAAGTCTGCCTCAGGCTCTGCAGAACCCAGGAGGGCTTCAACCCCCCAGGCAAAAAGGGACTAACCCGGAGGAAACACACAGTTACTTTGAAGACAAGATTTGCTGGAGGAGCTACATTAGGAATGAAGTGACAGGAGAGTGACGGTGTATAAATCACTGTAATTTCCTGGGATTCTGGCTGCACTTGGGATCACAGCTCAGCCTGCAGGCAGAGCTATTCCCTAGCCTTGCAAAACTACCAACACCAATGCTCATGGAGGTCTTAACATCAGCTGGCTCTGCTGCCACTGCCAGCATAGTCCCAGCCCCTTGGAATGCAGCAGCTGCTGCTGCTGAAGAGCACAGCCACTGGGGCTTCTGCAGGGGACCCTGGGAGCCAGCACACAGTGAGCCATGGGCTCCCACCCAGCAGCCCAGCCACAGGCACATGCCACACGAGGAAAGGGCCTGAACAGCAGCCCAAGCTCTCTTCCTCATGTGGAGGTGCAGGAGTAGCTGGCAAACAGATGGAACCAAAGGTGCTTGCAAACTCTCAGGTGGTCCCTGTGGACTTTGTCAAACCAGCCTAGCACTGCTGGAGCATGGGAATGTTTCAGTTCAGCCAGAAGAAACTAATTTGATACCGAACTCATTATGTCCACAATGGGACTTTTACTGTGTTCACAGGATTAATTTAACTGCAGGTGATTGATGTGTGGGGCAAGGCCTTAGGTGAGCATTGGTGTGAGTGCATGTGGAATAGTTGTGGGTCAATAAACTATACAGAGAAGAAAGCAGTGTGCTGAGGGACCACTGAGATGCTACTGGAGCTGCCCAGGCTATCAGTGATCATCTCCTTACACAGGATCTACAGTGAGGAAACACCTCTGTGTTGGAAAGGAGAAATGTGAAAGATTTTCTTGCCCCAACACAACCTGCTTTGGATCAAAACATTTCACCACCAATCTCTCAGTGCTTGTGTTAGCCAGGGGCAGCCACGTGAAGAGCGATTCTCCAGATCCTGATCCATGCCCCACAGAGCTGTGTGTCAGTCCAGCAGCTGCTGCAGGTCTGGTGGCAAGCAGGACAGCTGTCAGCCACCCAGGCTGGCGTGTTCCAGCCCTGGTTTGTGCTCAGGCAGGGGAGCCTCACAGCTGACATGCACTTTGGTAGAGTGGTATCCTGTTCCCCCATCCACATTCACTGCACACAGCAGTCAGCCCTGCACACATCTGAAGTCACAGATGAGACTTCTCTGAAGGTAGCAGGATCCTTTTTAACCTTTAGTCACTATATATAATGGTCACTACTTATATTGTTTTAATAATATATATATTATAATATTCTTTACTTAAAAAAAGGGCAAGCAAAGTCTCCTGCCTGTCACTGATTCCAAGCACAACTGACCCAGAGATATTTGCTACCAAAACACCTTTTGGACCAAGGCAAACAGAAGTGCCTGTGCTGCCAACCAGACAAATCAGTTAAGCAGCTCCATCCACCCGTGTGTTTGAGCCTCTCCACAGTATCAGTCTGTCTGGTGCCATCTGTCCTTTTTCTCCCTCTGCTCATATAACCCATTGCCACACTGGCTTAGCGCTGAGAAATTCTTTTCAGATTGCCCACGTGGCACATCCCCCCTGTATCCATGCTTCTTTGCAGGCAGCTCCTGGCCAGCCAGCAGCCACTGGCTGCTTCTCACCAGCCAGGGTGCCATCTCAGCTGGTGGGCAAGGCCCCTGCAGAGTGAGGACTCAGCATGACACCAGGCAGTCCCAAGGATTCTTGGAGTCCCAACACAGAAGAACAAGATGTGTCCCTCCCTGCCCATGCAGATGAACACAGAGATGAAGGAACAGTGCTGGCCTGTCCCAGGAGTTCCCTCAAAACACACAGGGGCAAAATCACCTGCAAGGACACAACCACACACCCCCAGCAGTGCTTGAGCAGCCCCGTGTGCCCTCAAGCTTGGCAGAGCTTGCATGAGACTCACAGCAGAGAGCAGCAGGGTCCTGCCTCTCCCACCTTTCTGGGATGTGATAGCCCACCGTGTCCTGTGATGCCAGACTAGACCCTCTGGCATTCCTCAACCACCTAACATCACAGGCCTCATCCCTTCTTGTCCCCAGACATGTTCTCCTCTGTTTGCTCCAGCTATGGCAGGTGCCCTTTCAACTTTCCTGCAGGGCAGCAGAAGAAGAGAGGACCCAGAGGAAATTCTGTGTGTGCTGCTCCCCTGGACAGGTGCACCTCCATCCAGGAGGACATGACCTGGGGCACACCATGCTGTTGATGCACTCTCCTGCTCCCCTTCATGCCAGGGACAGCTGGGAAGCAGGGCTGTGCAGGAGCAGGGAGTCTGGTAGCACAACCACGAGGAGGGATGACTCGTGCTGGTCTCAGATCTCTACAGACCCAGCTGCATCTCCAGCTCAGCCCTGTCAAACAACACTGAACAGCTTTTATTTTCTGTGCTGGCCATCTTTCCCTTGCTTTCTGAAACCTGTGGGACCTGCCAGGTGGCTCTCCAGTATATACCAGCTTTGGCATGTATCCCAGTGGGACCAGGAATCTGCTGCACCACAGAGGGAGATGATACCTTGGTGTCACCAGAATCCTGCCTGCTTCTTGTGGTTGGGTCATGTTAGATAGACCTCGTAGAAGACAGCTCAGTTTCACAGAAACCTTTTAATAAGAAAGTCCCCATAGTCCTGTGAAAGACTTCACTGGATGGTTGCTTCACAATTAAAAGTCTGCCTGATTTCTTCATCTGCTGTTCTTGGCTGTTCTGACTCCCCTGCTTTCACGTGCTAGAGGAAGACCACAGAACCACAGAATGGTTTGGGTTGGAAAGGGCCTTAAAGATCATCCAGTTTCAGCCCCCTGCTATGGGCAGGGACACCTTCCACTAGAGCAGGATGCTCAGGGCCCTGTCCAACCCAGCCCTGTGTCTACCCTGGAGCTTCCTTTCTGACACTGGGCCACAGAAAACTGTCCTTTAAACTTTTTCCTGAACAAATACACTGATTGTGCTTTATTGGCCTCCCATGATGAGGCAGGTTTGCTAACCCTGTTAATAGTCCTGCAGTCCTCTTTCAAAGCTCTTTCAATGCCATTTTTGGCATGTGCATTAAGACCTGGATGGACCAGCTGGTAAAGGCTTCACAACCAAGTCTTACCATCTGAGCACTCTAAAATTAATAGACCTTCAAGAAATTAATAGGAGTCCCGCTATGATTTATATTTCTGGAAAGAATCTGTCTTTGAGTTTATTCTGTTTTCTAGTTTCTAAACCTGCAGCGCATGCTTACGTTCTAGTCTGACCCACACTTCAAACTCAGAGAAAGGTGCCACCAGAAGAAGTGGTCACAGTCTCTGTGTGTCCTTCTTCTGTTGTCTGACCAAATGGTGAACCAGAGTGATGAAATGAACCAGATGATAAATAAACTGGTGAATCAGAGCAGTTTGTGTCGTGCTGGATCAGCATTTCCAGCCATTTTATCAAATAGCTGCTGCACTGTGAATGTGATGGAACTGTGCAACAAAACAGTGGAACTTGGAGGGATGTTGCTGTTGATGGCAACATCAGCTCAGCCCATCAGAGCACAGCCTGAGCTCCCTCTGAGTTCCCAGTGCTGCTCTGCAAAGATGAGGGCATGTTTTCAGATTAAGCTGTGCTGCTTACTTGACCAGGGCGAACCACATCAATGGAAAACACTTTGAGCTGGGTGAAAAGAATTCTTAGTGTTGGCAACACTGGGACTGTCATATGAAGAGGTAATTCTTGTCTCCTTTTTCTACACATTTCCCTGTTCAGGTGTGCAAGGAGTACCCTTTTCACCCTGTCACAGCTCTCATACTCCTTTCCAGGACTCCTGTAGATATGAGGAGCTTCAGAATTCCTTGAACTTGATGGCCATCAGTGTGTGACTGTTTGCATTCATGTTCAAATGAATCAAGGTTATTACTGTTCAGATTCCTCTGTCAAGCTTTGTTGTCTGCAAACAGTAAATTTGCAGGTAGTTGCAACTGCAGGAATAGGTGTACAGAGCAGCTGTATTTTTGTTCTGCCTCATGCAATGCCTCTTTTAGGCATGACAATGGCGTGAGGCACAAAGTATTTGGGTCTGGAGTGTTTTCTGCTGTGAGGCATGGGGAGAATTTTGTCTACTTCAAGATCTCGTCAAGATCAGACAGGTACCAGTCCTCCTTGCTTTCACTTTCAAGCCTTCCTAATTAGTCTGGGGGCTAAACAGTTGGTTGATTTAGCTCTAGCTAAGTGTTAAGCTTATGCTCAGATAATATTACTTGAAGAGCACAGCCCTTGCTTTTACGTTCACATTGTTCATCCTCAACGCGTGGCAGAGGTGAGCACCAAGGAAAAGACATAAACCCCACCTCTGCCACTCAACCCACTGTCCCCTCAGATAGAAATGCACATGGCCATGGCATGCCAGCAAACCTCTCATTGCAAAGCAGCAGCTTTTGGGTATACTACAGAATAATAATTTCCCACCCTGACGTGTAGGGGAACTTTCAACCACAGTGCCAAAATTCACAAACACCAAGAGCGTGACAATAAAACACAAGGAATTCAGGTGCAAGGGGCACCCAGGCTAAAGGCATCCAGTGACTGTTCACATCCTCATGATGGAGCTGTGTTTGGTGGATTACAGGTCTGTGGTACCAACCTCGCCCAGGCTGAGAGGAACCACCCGTGCTGGGGGATGTGATGTCCACAGATCACAGTTTGGTATTTGTGACAGAAGTGGCTGCAGTGTGCTCCCTTCTACATTAATTAGCAAGAGCTCTTGATTTCCCAGCAAGCTGCCAACACACCCCTACTTCCACCTAAGTACCCACCATACAGGCATCTGCTGAAACAACAGCAGTATCTGAGAAGCAATGCCAGACCTCCTCTGTGGGATATACTGGAGCAGGTAGGAGCATCCAGCAAGATCTGCCTGTCTCCTAATTCCCACCTGTAGAGGCATCTCTGGAAAGGAGAGAAGAGCCCTCTCCTCCTTACCCCTTCTCTTATCTCAGCACACAAGGATGCATCCATCCTTCTTGAATAAGCTAGTGGCAATCCCTTGCTAAGACAGGTGGTGGGAGGTGAGCCAGCACTCAGGGAGATGACGGAGACCAAGGCTGGTGTTTTCCCAGCAAGGAGAAAGGAAGGAGCTGCCTGAAGAACAGGAGCCTTCCTCTTTAGCAGGCCTTGCTCTTGTCGCCTCTGCTCCTCTTTCCTCAGCTGGAGTCGGTGTTGAGGACTGGTATTGCTAACAGAGAGGAGAATCCCTGGGGAGGCAGGCAGGTCAGGCACTGGGCAGGCTGCCTGGGTCACGGTTTGGTGCTGTGCATTAGCAAGCGTGAGCTGCGGGCTGGGTGTCTCCCTTGGAAAGGCTCCGTGGCTCAGAGGCTGCCAGGCCCCTGGGAGCTGATTGCGGTGTGGGGTGAGAGTGAGTGAAGCATTCAAGTACAGCTACTGCTATACACTCGTGGGTCCAGCATGGAAGGCTGTGCTGCAGCATCTCAAGTGTATACTATATGCAGAAGTTACCCAGTCTGTTGGGCTCGCAGAAGAAGGTCATTATCTGGCAGCTGCCTTACTTTCCAGGGACACCTGCTTTCCTTTGGTTGCTGGACTTTGAGTCTGGGTTTTTCCTCTTTGTCGTTTTTTGGCCACGCCAGGAGATGGCAGGGAATCTCCTGTAGGCCCCGGGGCCTGAGCTGAGGGCTGAGGTCGGGGGGAAGGAGGAACTCGCTGAGGAGCAGTCCCTGGTTTATGCTGTCGGCAGGGAGAAGGACTTTCCCTCCGAGGCAGCAGCTGGCTTCTGGGGGAAGTACTGGGGTTCCTGGAAGGAAGGACAGGGCTCCGAGGGGATGCACCACTGGACCTCTGCGAGCTGCTCCGTGGAGGAAGAGAAGTGGAACTCGGCGATGAAGGAAGCCGACTTTGTACCTGTGTTGTCCGGCCCTCGTACGCGGCACTTCCAGCTGCTCTCTGTGTCTGAAGCCTGCAGAGGAAGAAAAGTGAGAAGAGGGAGGATGACGGGGAATTTTGCAAGGGACTCTTGGGCTCCTGGCAGGATTGGCATGAATGTTGCCAGGCCATTACAATTAGTAACCTACACTGTGACCCAGATGGGGCACCAGTTTGAACACCATCCTGTAACTCAATGCAGTTAACTGCTAAGTATTTGCCTTGATCCTCCAGCGTTCTCTGAGTCAACACACAGGCATGGTATCTGGGACTTTTCTTAACATGCAGAATGGATGCAGCAACCTCTTTCAAGGTAGGAGATACAATTTGGGAATGTGGGCATGAGTTGGATTGCACCAGTTGGCCTCTGATGGTAACTGTGATGGAAGATAAACCAACTGAGGCAATCCCAGCTGGCAGCCTCGCTGCCCTTGCAGCTCTAATCACAATAGCCAGGCCAGGAGGCCAAGTCTCCCTGCAGAGCCATGGCTGTGCTGCCAAAAGGAGAGTGCAACACCGGGGGCATCTGCTGTTATCAGACCAAGTGAAAGGGCTTGTAAAAGAAAAGGTCTCAAAGCCAGGGCAAGCAAAGAGAGGCTTCAAAAAAAAAGAAGACAGAGAGGTGAGTATTTCACACACCTGTGAAATGACTGCAGGAAACAAGGATGAACTATGCAGTCAAGCTGAGTAAAGGATGAAGTCATGGGAGGTGAGCAAAGCCCTGGCTGTGTCTCCTCAACAATCCCAGCTCTTTGCATTTCTCACCATTTTGGCCTTACCTGCAGGCAGCAGCTGCATCCTGTGGGGAGCTGCCCAGCCCTGCCATCGCAGCGGCCACGGAGCTCTCCGACCTTGCCACCTCCAGCGGCGTTTTCACCGGCACGATGGGACGAGGAATTCTGCTCCTTGTGCTTATGGCTCTCTCTTCTTTCCCCAGCAGCGCAGCCTTCTTCTCTCCCTTCCGTGGGATGGAGTCATCAGAGTCGTGGGTGTCCTCCTCAGAACCGGTGGCTGACAGGGTTTCGGAGGCTCGCCGCCGCTCGTCGCTGGAGGAGGCCGAGGAGGAGGCCCCTGAGGCCAGCCGGAGCAGGCGGCTCTGTCTCTTCTCCATCACCAGGCGAGCCAGGTCGGGTTGCTTTGCCCTCTTATAAAGCCTTTCTTTGGCTGAGAGTGAAGTTGAAAGGTCTGAGCCGGTGTCCTCCTCAGAGAACAAAATGGGTATCCGACTTCTATACCGGGAGCCCAGCGGCCTCCTGGGGCCCTGCTGTGGCGTCTCGAGCAGGGTCTCTGCTCGCTTCAGGTGTTCTGTGGCTGATGCTGCCTTCTCGAGGCCAGGCTCCCTTGTAGCCACCTTGTCAGGCTCTTCCAAGTCCAGCGAGAGCCCCGCTTTGCCGGAGAGCTCCGGCTTGTCCTCAGGAAGCTTTGGCACGCCGTTGGGAAGGGCCGGCTGCTCCCCCACAGTCTCTGAGGTGGTTTCGACGTGATTGGCCGAAAGAGCGCAGCTCTCCGTCTCTGCCCCTTCCAGCCCGGAATGAATGCTTCCATTCTCCACCAGCACCAGGTTGTCCTCCAGCTCCTCCTCGATGATGACCTCCTCGAACTGCCCCGGGGGGCAGTACTCCTCGTGCCGCATCAGCTGCCCGCTGGAAGACATCACGTTCAGGTGGGTCTTCTCAGCAATGTGCACGAACGTGCGCTCGACTTTGGTGAACGGGGAGGAAGCTGTAGCCACTGCCACGGGAGGCTTTGGTTCCGATTTAAGGACCGAGGACAGGGTCCCTGGCTCAGACACATCCAGCTGGCTCCCCATGGGCTGCGGCCGCTCGCTCTGAGGTGTCAGTGCAGCGAGAGTGCCCAGATCGACTTCTGGAGGTAAGTCTGCAGCCACCGGAGACTTTTTCAGGTCACCTGGTGAAAACAGCACTAATGTTTTTGAGCCTTCCTCCAGCTCCAGGTCCCCATCAGCAGTGGATGCTCGACCCTTGGACCCCTTCTGGTCATCAGCCAGGAGCGTGGACGGTGCGCACTCCTGGCTGCGCTCCGTGCTCTTCTGACTCAGGTCACTGCTGGAATCACTGTGCATGTCAATCTCATTGCCCTCCTCTTCCTCCTCCCCCTCATCCTGCTCATCTTCCTCCTCCTCATAGTCTTCCTCCTCTTCTTCCTCCTCCTCCTCCTCTTTTCCATTCATTTCCAGATAAGGTTCCAAAGGTTTGCAAGGAGCAGTCAAGACAATATTTGAAAAATCAACTTTCTTTATCCGCTGGGATAACTTAGGCTTTTCCCAGTAGTTGCACATATCTTTTCTGAAGTCTTGGTAAGGCAAACTTAAAGGGACCGCCTTGGGCAGGCCATTTATTTCAAATGACTTCAGCATGTATGCCTGCAGGAAGACAAGTGTGACAAAAGAAGAGGGTGAGTTAGCATTCAGACAACACCATTGACATAGAACACATCAGGACCAACAGCAGCAGGAAGAATCCATGGAAAGCATCTAATCCATCATGCTTCCAAAATACATGCCCGAGCAGTCATCACTCCATCATTTGATTCATACAAACCTTACAGAGAGTCACAGATATTTATCAGTGAAGGAAACAAAACATGCCAAAGAAGTTCCTTTGTTAGCAGTCTTTAACCTGGACCCAAAAGAACCATTTTCAAGCAATTCTTCAGATTTTTTTCACATTTCCCAATCTTCTTCAGTGTTTACATATTTATTTCAGTATTTATATATTTACATAGTCACTCCTTCCTTACTGGAACCACTTAGGAATTCGCTTTTATGCTCAGACTGCAGTGAACTGAAGGGGCACCTCTGGGCTAGATACATTTCCTGATCACTTTCCATTACCATCCACCATTGCCCCTGGTGCAGTAACACTTGTAGTGGTTGCCCTGGTGCACCATCCATCCCTCCTTGTGCTCCCACATCCCTGTAGCAACTCCTCATTCTGTCTCCTACAGGCTTCTGCTTCCACTGAAATCACCAGCAAGTCATGAAAGCTGGCACATCAAGTGTCATTATCAGACCCTGGGGTGTCCAGCCAGGAGAAGTAAAGGGCAGACAGGACAGGTGGTGGGGGCACTGTTTCTCCAGCAGCAGCCTGTGGCAGCAGCAGGCTGTGAAATGATTGCAAATGATCCTACAGAAAAACAGTAGCTCACACACACATGCACACACTTGACCAAACAAGGCCAAAAAAAATAGGAAATGCCTGTCAAGCATGGCCTAATTAACAATCAGTTGCAAATGAAAATCACATCAGCACCACTCTGTAGAATGGATTTTTAAACCAAATCATTTACATCACACTTCTGTTAGGGCTTGCAAACTGTAACCTCTCCATAAAATCAACTGGTCAATAATGCATCACGTTACCCTTGAAAAGTCCTGACCATGAACAGCAGGGCTCCAAACATCTGCATTTTCCAGTGGCATTCCACATTGCCAGAGGATATTTAGGCTACACAATTAAACACCCACCCACTTAACCATGTGAGCTCCAGGCTGCTAACAGCTGCCACATTCAGCTGGCCGTGGGAATGGATCTTTTTGCCTCTACTGGGCAGAAAAAGCCCTCAGTGGCTTTTCAGTCCAATGGCACAATCAAAAAGGGTGCTGAAAATCTGCATGTGCTGCGCCTGAAAAATGTACTATTTTTATGCTCCTGTACAACAGAGACATTTCAAATAGGTTGGTGGGCAGCATCAAGCTGTTCTGCGTGGTGGTAAGTTGTTGTCCAGTTAATATTTCTTTTTATATCTTATAAACTAAAGCACAGGCTGGTTTTGGCAATACCTCTAGAATGCAAAGCTGCTTCTCTTCTTTCATTAAAGCTGAAGCCTGGCCCTGAAGATGGACCTGTTTGGGCCTTCACTGACCCACTCTACCTTTTGTACTGCCCTTTGCAAAGGAAATTACCCACATGGCTTCTTCCCTTGGGCATTTCTTGGAAATTAGTTCATTCAACAGCCTAGGATTGGATGATACACATTGGCTGGGTTTGTTTTTCCCAAGAAATACATACACAGTGCTATTCCTGGAATCAGGATGCACTTCCCCAGTGGGAATGGGACCTGACCAACATCTTGCCATGTGCTGAGCCCCCCATTGGAAAGAGCTCCACAACCCCAACAACAGTTCCTTTGCTGCTCTGCCTCATGCCATTTTCCAGATGCTGTGTTTGATTATGCAGATGGACAATTGCTGTTTTTCTTTGCATCGTGAAATATGCACCTGTGTAGATCTTCAAATCTCTTCCCAGCCCTTGGCTTGTGTCATCTCTTCTGCTTTGTGGCCAAGGGGAGCTGAATTCAGCCCTGCAGAGCACATCCTATATAGGCTAGAGATATGGTTTCTGTGCTTTGCAGTCTGCCCTACCAGCAGCCCTGTCTCCAGCAAACCCTCTCTGCTTTTGAGCAGCTGGAGTCTTGTGATTCTTCTGCATGAGGGAAATTTTCACCACCCTTTCCACAGGTACCAGAGCCTTCACATGCCTTGAACTGAAACTACATTGTGGCCTTCCCAAAGTACATAAACCACATCTCTAACAGCCACATAACTTTGTTTCTATTCCCAGATGTGTCTTAACTGCAAGTTTTTAGTGATCACATGTGTAAGCAATAATGGAACTCTCACTGTTCTACAAGAACTCCTTCAACTCCCTGTGCAGTGCTCCCACCTTCCCAAGGATGAGCAGGGGACACCTTCCCAGAGCAAATGAAGTAGAAAAATGAAGAAAGAAAGCAAATAAAAAACCCAGCCATCAACAAGATGCTGCCTTTGATTCTTTAATAAGGTTTTGGTAGTATACAAGCTTTTTTTTTGTTTGTTCATTTTTTCTTTTTTTTTTTTTTTTCCCGATTGTCTGGATTAACATACATGGATTTAAAAAAGGCACAAAATCCATTGCACAGCTTCTGTTTCATTTGTTTTTGATGACATTGCCTGTTCATTGTGGTTTCAAGTGTAGGATTTTACAGTACTCTGCAGCATTTACAGCATGATCTACATACAGGTAATCAATGCATGCTTTTATACAGGAGATAGAATTCAAATTCTCTCTCAGTATTTCTATATACACAATAATACAGTCTTTTTCTTCTGAAAAAAAAGCTTTAAATTGGTCTTGCATGCTTGGTATACCAGAAGAATTAGTGCAAGCATATATTACAGTGTTATTGCAGTACAAAAAGGGGTTGACCTTAGGCTCTAAAGGGATTAGATAAGGAAGAATAAAAAGACTCGAGGAAAACAAGCTTTGGATCCCTTTAGCCAACTACGTCCTTCCAAACGGATCCCTACACACAGTACTGCCTTTAAAGCTACAGCAGGCTGCGTCCCCTCCACCTCCCTGCTGCCTTCCCCCTGAGACAAACTTCCACAGCTTCTGCAAACCTTCTGTCCCTCGCAGTCCGTGAGGACTCCTGGCAGCTTGAGGAATCCCTTCTGCTGGACCTCTTAATACTGGAGACCTGCTTGAAGGGGACTGCACTGAGATCCACTGCATCAAGCAAACTCAAGTCCCAGCAGATGGAGTTTCTCAGGCAAACCAGGAAGCACAACACGTTCCCTACAGCTTTTGTCTCCTCTCAGTAGCAACGACCACAGAAACCCACATTCACCTCCTACTCAAGTAGCAGTCGGTTAAATATGGTTTGGACTCTCCTGCTTAGCAGCAACAGAAGTCTAACAGGTGACATAAGGTAATGCAAAGGAAGGATATGCTGGTCCCTGAGATTCTTTATGGGAGCTGAAAAGTCTGAGAAGCAGAAATCAAGTTCTCAATACGACGTTAATTGTTCCACTGGGAATGGGAAGAGGCCTTAGTCCTGAGAGAAGCAGATGGCACACAGACAGCAAGAGCTGTAGTCCAGTCTTCCCTGTAACAGCTTTTATTTGGATACTATCAGGACCTTAGCATATCCTGGAAGTGACATTATCCTCTGCCAACATAGACTAAGCTTGATCGGGACTGGGAGATCTGGCAGGATTGACAACAGTGTGTGGAAAAAACCTAGAATCTGAGTTTCTGAAGCAGCTCTTTCTTCCACCAGCATCAGATGAGGTAAAAGTAGCAGGGGTCTTAGAGCTGCCATGCTTACTTGCAGGATCTCCACGTTCCAAGAATCAGCACCATAAATGTTAGAGATGTTCTTCTATCCAGCATCTTATCATCAATGCTCCACAGCCTTTTTCTTCATTCTTTTTACCAAGGTGAATAGGACAATCCAGTCCTGTGCTGGATAAGTGCTCTGCTCCTCCCTGTTTGTGCTTTCATGTGTTAGGTTTGAGCCAGTTTTCCTAGTGTCTTGGATGGAAGCAAAAGCTCTGTAAAGGTGGGATGCCTGCCACTCAGCTTCCCAACTCTGTACCCACCAGGGTCTCCAGTGAGAGCCAAAGCAGAGCTCCCTGTCTGAGCAGACATGGGGACCATTTCATTTGGATCACTCATTGGAGACTCAGGAAGTAGTGAGCAAAGTGGAAGGAAATGATAATCCAAAAATTCCTCTAGTCCCTAACTGTAAAGGCAACTTAATAGCAGCAAGAAAGAAGAAGAATAATATTCTGAAAGCTAAACATCTTCCTACATCATAAAAATAACCAGAAGTCAGCAGTGCTGAGTAAGAACCTGATCTGGTAGGGGTTTTCTAGGAAGGACCAAGCTGAAGGGGCAAGAGTTCCATGGAAATCCTCCTTATTTGACTTGTTCAGAGGAAATTTGCCATTACTGTGTTTCATGTTGCCAGATAATTAATTGCACTCATAATTAAACTGAGAAACTTGTTGGAGTTGTTGGAGGAAACCCTGGGGATTTTTACGAGGCAAGTGCACTAGATGAGGTAACTCATTGAACCACTTTGCATATGAAAAAATAAAACCTCCAAACATAAAGCAATTTTCTTTTTGAACATTAGAAGACATGCAAGTGAATGTAAAATGGGGATTGCTTCCAACCCCCAGGTTACATGGTTAGCAGCTTGTTCAAAATGTACATTCATCGTAACATCATTTTTTTTCAATGGCAGGTGTGATATAAAGAAGTTGCAATACAGCAAATAACACTTAGAAACATTTCCCAGAAATTAATCTTTGCGCTGTCCCCTGGAACTGCCAATGCAGGTTTGTGTTATAGTGACCCAAACACAAAACACGTGGCATAAAAATGCAACAAAAAGCAAGGTAGCGCCACAATGATAAACCTTTATGTGTTTTATTTAATGTTTTAATATTACCCAAAATAGGTGTTTGCATACTATAAATTATGTCCCAAGTGCCAGCACTGTTCCCATCACCAGAACACTCTGCCACTGGCTGGCAGCAAAAGGAGAGCTGTGTTTATGCACAACAGGCTGAATGAAGAGACCTGGGCTGGGCCA